AAGTTCTCTGCATAAAAATCTGTTGATTAGTTTACAGATTAAATTTACTAAAAAAAATCAAAACAAAACACAACTCCAAAGAAAATGCAAATATGTCATAATAGTTTATAGCTGATCTGAACTCTTTTAAGGTGGAAAGCAATAATGGACAAGACTATCCTGTACAAAATTACTGTAGATAAATAATGTAGATACAGTTCAGAGAACGCTCACTCATGGTAGTATCTGCAAACAATCATAGAGATCAGGCAAACATTTTATTGAGAGGAAAGAGTAAGTTCAGCTACAGTTAAAGATGAAAAAATACCAGCACATGGAACAAGAGTATAAACACATTGAAAGGTCTAGAATTGGCACCTAGAAAGATCATTAGAGCAGCTGAACAACAGTAGCATTGATGGTTTTGTATTCTTCAAGAAAAATAAAGTTGCATAGATATAAGCTTGAAAACACAGACTGTATCTGAAAAAAACCTGTCTGAAAAATAGGTGATGGTTAATACTAGATAGTAAAACAAACAAAGGCTGAAAAGAAAAAAACCTGTAGTCTAGTCCCCTTATCAGATCACGTTCCTTCCAGAATCAAATGAGACTCCATTTTTGCCAGCATAAAATTCAAAGCTACAGATCCAGCTACATTCTGCAATTAGAGTCTTGTGCAATGAAGGCTAAAACTTCTAATTAAAGTCTCAAGGAGAGCCCCACCCACCTGTGCAATAGAGAGGACTGTTGCATCTTTCAGTATCAAATGACAAGAGACTCAAGATGACAATGAAGTGTCAATTTATCCCAGAGAAACTTTCTTTCACTCAGAAGGTTAGGCACTTTAAAAAAATGAAAGCTTAAATGGCAAAACATCTTGAAGAATCTTAACAAAATCTGAAGGAAGACACTAATCCGATTTGCACATCTGTGAACTGAGCGAAGGAAGAAACAGCACCCCTGCCAAAAGTAGAGCAACTACATACCTGTGTGTATGTGTGTGTGTGTGCCTCTAGAACAGATCTCAAGTGAGCCTTTTCATAAAATTCAATATCAACGCACAGAAAGCACGACCGTGACTGTACAGAAGCTGCAGTGCACACATCTATCAGAATAACAAGCAACACACCCCACATATGTTCATATCTAGACAAAATATTCGCAAATATGACAACATCACTTTAATCATCTGGGAACCCAGCAATCATCCAACTTTCGGCCTTTCTTTCTATCCTGACAGCTACTCTCAGGAGCTCTTTGTCTCCCATTTTGATTATTGTAATTATCTCCTTCCTCGCCTCCTTAGCAGCCGAATTCCTCTTCTCCTCTAACATGCTATACAAATACGGTTACTAAGTTAATTTATTTTCGCTTTTTGGTCTAATTTGCACTATCTTCCTTTTGCCATAAAGGTGAAGATACCCCTTGGCAAGAGCACGTTGTACTAACAGTCTGGGAGTTCTCTTCCATCTAGACCAGCAGTTTGTAATTTAATAAGCTTCCTTATCTCTACCACATTCACCTGGGTTTGTCTAGAGCAGACCCGATCTTTAGTATTTAATCGAGGTTGTGAACTGCTAGAAGACTGTATCTGAGTGAAAGAGCTCATCAAGATATTATTAAATTATATCTGGCAAATTAGGAAATGAATCAGAGACTGATGGACATTTGTAATTTATTAAGCCAAACTGATTCAGCTGGTAAGGAGCAGTGGATGTCCCTTATCAGCCTGCAAACCATACAAACCCCAGGATTTGTGAAAAGGTGTTCTGGAAGACTGTAGTTCAGTGTAGAAACATGATTTTGGGAAACAATTCTGCACTTGTACCCCCATTGCAGCAATGAGTTGGGCAGTGGAATAACATCCTTGGTTACTATGACAGTGCTATGATGAAAAACAGACAGCTCTATTCCCCACTACTTGACTTCTAGTGATACAGTAACTGAACTCCACCATGTAATTACTATTTCCAAGCAGTTGCCAGACTTCAACAGTTTTGAGTTGTCATGGTGAGCTCATACTATTTGTTTGTTGTTCCTCTCTTTTTAATGGAGGAGGTGGCTGCCAGGATGCGTAAGGTGAGTTTTCACTGTGAATACCATTTGCTCAGGCACTGTAACTGCTTTGGCTCTAAATTCTACGATGTTGAGATGAAGTCCCACAGCTTTCATGGTCAGACATTTCACACCTCTGTGCAGGCCAAGTGGGCATCGCTGCCTGTGCCTGTGACCAGAATCTGAGAACAAGGTAGGACACAGGAGTCGGTATTCCCTTTCCTTGTGCTTTTCAGGTTCTAGCCACTGTATCAACTCTGTGAGGACATGATGAGATGACAAAATATTCTAGTCCATCTGGTGCCTCTATGGGAAGCATATGGACCTGAGCCAAAGTCATAGGAGCCACAGCTGAAGGCTGGCATTGGATGTCATGTGCATGCTGACATATGGTCTGATCCTTCAAGGCATGTTCATACCATGGTAGCAGGATTAGATTTCATCTCATGTAGAAGCAATCATAGTGACAGGACCCTGTCTTTGGGCAAGTGCTCACTAGCCTGGAACTGGTCATAGTTCCTAAGAACTTCATTCTTCGTGACTGCAACTTTGGCTCTTTGTTTTAATATACTTATTTAGGAGAATCATCTGGATGAACAGCAAGCATATTCTAGGCTCGTTGCCATTGCCTGTCTCTGATCAGTTGGTCATCTACAAAAGGACAGATGTGCGTGCACTATCTCTTCAGGTGCATTGCTCCTGCAGTGAGGAGTCTTAACGCTGCAGACTCTGCATGCCAGAGAGACTGAGCTTTGATTCCACTTCTGAAATACTTCCTACAGGACAGGTAGATGACTATGTGCAAGTAGGCCACAGTGTAACTCAAGAACCATAAAGCAGGCTTGACTGCAGACACAGGAAGATGGAAGAAAGCATTACCATCCTAAATCTAATGTGACGTTTGTTACAGCTTACCCAGACCTCTCAAAAAAATATAGATCCTCTTTTTCTTCAGAATAAAGAATATCAGGAATAGCAGCCTCTCCTGTATTTTCATGTAGCTGCTGTGATGAAGCTGCTTTGTCCTCTCAGCATGCAGAATGGAGATCTGTCCAGTGGAAGGAGGTGGAAGGCACCTCTTGCATAATTGCCTAGTTATTACAGTACTTGCTTTTACAATAAAGGTCTGGATTTAAGACCTTTCTGAGTTTGCATCTGAAGCCATGGCTGCTGTTACACAGGACAGTGCCAAAACCCTGTATAGCCTTGGACAGGGCTGCTCCCAGTTCCTCCTTTTAGAACTGGTCATAAAGGGATGGAAGAGCAGTGGTGCCAGAGAGAGAGAGAGACACCATGTAAAAGCTTGCTCCTGATCTTATGAATTTTTTTTCTATTTTCACTCAAAAACCAACCATACCCACAAGCAGCCTCTAAACAGATTTCCACAGTACAGTACTACAAATTGCCTTAAGTGAGTAAAGCATTTCCACCTGTATTTTTTGATCTTGAGTTAAAGGCTGTGCAGAACTGCCAGACATTTATTTAGAATATAAACTAAACTCCAAATAATTTGAGATCCACCCAACCAGTGTGCCTAACAAATCAAGATAATGATGGCTTAAGAGGCAGAGGACTTTGTTCTATGAATAAAGCAACATAAACTAGCTGTTTATTTTTAAAAAGCAAATACATAGAAATACAAAACCTATAACCCCAAAGGGCCTTTAACCCTTTCAAGACCAGATAGTACTGCAATACCTTGTTCTGTGCAGAACTGAGAGCACTAATGCAACGCTTTTGAGTACTCCTGCAGTGTACAAAACATGGTATCTCTGTGCAGGTACACACACACACACACACACACACACACACACAAAGCAGCTGAATAAGAAATTCAGGAGCACACGTAGAATGGTGTTTGAGTAAGATGCTTACACGTTCACTTAGTATGCTGTAGCACATGGTGTAATCCAGCCCACTCTCAAAATGCTTTCATGTCATCTATTTATTTCCTGCCAAGAGGAAACAGGATGCACTGGTACTTCTACTTTGACCACTTTCATGTACTTATACATACATTTATAAGTGGATTACTCAGCTTTCATAGAGTGGCCAAAATGAAAGCATGTTCATTTTTAGGTTTTACTGCACCTGTAATTATACTCAATCTTGCAAATACACAGTAAAAAGACATTATTCAACTATGCCAAGTCACTAACAATTCCATACATAAATTCCAAACACAAGCTTATGAGCCTGTAAAATCTTAAGATTTCATCTTGCCTTTTTACTTTTGCAAATGAATATGCTAATTCTGTCTTATACTGTTTTTTAATAGCTATTCGAAGACTCTAGCTGGCAATTTGACTATTCAATTATGTACTGGAATCCACTTTACTAAGAGAATCTGAACACTTTCCCGTACTGGTAGCAACTATTAATTCCAAATGGCATCAAATTGCACATTTCAAATATGTATTGATACCATCTACTATCATACTCATAAGCTTGTTACTTATTTAAGACTTAGGAAGCCTCATGAAACAGTTCCTTTTGAGTGAATCACTTTGATGATATCATGTATGAGATGAATTCAAATAAAAAGTCAAAGTTCACTTTTGACCAGTTTGTTTTGAAGCCAATTTTGAAACTACAATTTGCCTTATAACAAACATTTTCTGACTTTTCTCAGTCCAAAAGGCTTAAAAATGCATCACTGGCATAATTTAATACCTCTCAGAATAAGACAGCATCTGTAATCCCTGTGGTACAAGACTGTTTACTTCCCTACAATTAGTGGATGCCTCCAAGCTACATCATTCATGTGAACGTTGCACTGGGGATGCACCTGCAACTCATCTACTTGAGAATGAGAGGGTTTTTTTGCTTCTGCAGTATCTGTACACACTCATCTGCTACTGAAAGGGCAGCACATCCCTCCTGCACCTTGGATTCTTTTCAGCCACAGAGCTCAAGGACATACAATCTGCTGAAGAACATGGGATGTCATGATGTGGATGTGCATAAGGACTGAAAAACTTTTAAGACCTCCCCACCGCTTCTTTTTTTCCTTTTGAGTAATATCCATGTGCTTGTTCCACTGCTGTGGCCACATGAGAGATGGAACTACAAGTCCCAAGAAAACAGAGGCCAAAGAACCTTAATTCTCAAATACTGTATTTGATTCTGACATGGTATTTGCCTATCTGGTTTCACTAGAAGGTCTACGGAGGACACTTCTACTTTTTCAGGAGAAATGGAGATTGAAAAATAGAAAGAGATTAGCAGAAACTAGGAGATTGTCATCTATATCCAGCTCCTCCTTCTTTATCTATGGAGGAATGAGGAAAGAATGCCCCAGATCCTTTCTAGTTTCAGAAAGTCAATTCTGCTTCATCTTCATCTTTCTCTCCAGAGGCAGGAGAAGCAGATTTTGTAACAATTCCACCAACTTTGACATTTTGGTTTTAAGTCAGCAAGATATTTTTAAACACCTGCTTTGTGAATAGAATTATGCTGCTGGTTCCCCAGAACTTTAACTTGAAATGTCAGAACTTCTTTTCTAACAAGAAAACATTTAAGAAAGATACATAATCTTCAAGAAGGTGGCAGGATCCAAGAACAAAATCTAAGTTCCCTACTGCTGCAGTAAATATCTCATTGGTTCACACTGCGTAAATGGTGTATGCAACATCAGTGATTTAACATTACTGCAAGGAAAGACTCTATCTTGCTGCTGTGCTCATGCTAGTAAGTATAAAACCGTCTCCTTCCTACCTGGTCAAGGAATTCAGATGTGTAAATGCTAGAAGGATTCTACTGTAGAGAACAAATCTCTTCCTAGTTCCAATTAAACTTTAGTCCTTTTCTTTATTTTGATGTAAACACATTTTATTCTCACTTCGTGTTCCTATGGTGATTTGAAGTGAAGGCAGTGTCTGACTGAAAACACAACTTGTAGCATTTCCTATTCGACACTGAGAAAGATGAAAGCTCTTAAGTTCTTGAAGGCATCTCTCAAATATAATTAATAAATCTATTCTGGCCAGGACAGCAAGATTTAATCTCCAAGTAGCAAAGGTCAGTTTACAGCAGGTGGGGAACGGAGATAAGGAGACAGTGCTGTTGACTGCAGAGGGAGTTTGTGAGAGAAAATAGCTGGAAACAAATAGGAAACCATAAAATATAAATCCATCCTTGGAGCACAAATACGTGAATGGAAAAATAAAGTATAATCCCGCTAAGAGGCACAGTTCTTGCCAAATATCCATAATTCTGGATGGCTGCAAGAGTCTGCAATCTGGGTGGGAACAAAAAGCATGTATAACCTTGACCCCCATGCTGAGCTCAATCTATTGTATCTGCATGATTTTTCCCCAAACAAATCCATCATCTGCCCTGCTGGAGCACACTGCTGCACGATGCTGAGAAGCACAGTGGATAGCTAAGAAGAGTTATTAAGACAGAGGTTCTCAGGTTTTGGGGTTTGGTTTTGTTGGGTTTTGTATTTTTTTCTTTCCGTTTTGGTGTTGTGGGGTTTTTTTGTTTTCTTTTTTTTTTTTTTTTTTTTTTTGCATTATAGAAGACTTAGGATCTCCCTTCACTCTGGAGCTATACAAGAAGGAGGCTGCTGTAAGCCCCTCTGTGGAGAGAGGCAAGGGATATCTGCATGACACTTCCCTTGAGAACCAAAACCAACAATTGCAATAACTGAAAGCACAGGAAGCATCTACAACTAACAGGGAGTGATCTGCAGTCAGCAAACATGCCATTTTTGTTGTTTCTCTGTATCTGTGAATGATAAGGAAGATTAAGATACTTTTTTTCACTGATAGGCTTCTTTAGTCCTTGTGCATCTGCTGACTGGAAGACATCCAGTGCACATCAACACTTTTTTAAGCAGCATTAGGTTAAAGATGGAGAAGCTAAAGCCACATTGGCAGAAAAATTAGGTACCTAATTTTCGTATGTTCTTCTTAAAAAACATTATGTGGATGACTACAGAAAGATTAAAAAATTTCAGGGAAGGACCTCAACATGGTACAAGGTGACAGGTGATGTACTCCCCCCAGCATGCTTCAGATTGCAGCATGTTACAGATTTGAAATATATAAATGGGAAAAAATTTCAAACAACTAAAATTAAAAAATGTTGCTCCATCACATTAGTACAAGCCTACGTAAAAATCTTACTGGCACTAAAGAGACTGGACAAGTGGACACAATTCGGTACCTGAGAAGCAGTCAAATAATATATCTAGCTTTTCACTTCTCTTTTTTAAGTGAAATGTCCCTTTCAGTACATTTAAAGTAAAATCTAACTATAGAAGAAGCCACGTTTTCAGTGACAACCCAGTGGTACTTAAATACAATAATGAACATGGCATCAAAACTTCTGGATTGCTTAGGACAACTTGGATTTTCAATTCATAGACATCAACTTTCAGAACACAACTAGAGGAAGAAAGTTTGGGAAAAAGATACGTCTTTCTCACTGGGAAATTTACACCAAGATAATAATCTGTTTCCATTAAATCAATGTTTTTTGCTTCTGATTTGAATAGGAATATGATTAAAAAAACTACATAGAAAGGATAGATGAAATCCTGATTAAGAATTGGTTTATTCAATACTCTTTGCAATAAAAATCCCCTAAACATGAAAATAAACAGCACAATGGTTTCAAAAGACAATGTAAAAAAATATATGTATACTTCATTACTGTATTATGTAAGTGCGCTGTACAGCACTATAGTGCAACTCTTACAATTTTTATAGAAAAATTATATTTTATATTAAATTTGTTCTCACTTAATTTTTCATGTATATAATTTAAACTTGCCAAATTTATAACTTAAAAAAAATCTTAAAATGGCTATAAATTATTAAAGTTACTTTTTTGACGTTAAGCTTCCCAGTTCAGTCAAATAACTTACTGAAGATGTCATACGCTACAATGGTGTCAAATTCTGCCCTAAGATCTACACAGGCATATGCCTCAAAAAATTGAACTGCTAAGTTTGACAGCTTGAAAACCGGATGGGAAGATGGTACACTTGCAGCCTCAATTAATCCCCCAGAACACAGGCATGTGACTGTATATCCCTCTCTGTCAAGTTGTTGTGTTGTGGTTTTTTTTTTTAAGAGGAGTTTAAGCCCAGGTGAGGAATTATTAGCATGTAATTAGCTGAAAAGCCACAGATCTTCAAGCAATCTAGGAAGCATGAACTACTGCCAGTGCTTAGCTGAAACAGCTTCTACAGAAGTCTGTGTGCTGCAGATACGTAACCAACAGGAACTGGTTGTCTGATTGCACAAATTTTACACATCTTCTCGATTTCTATATTGATCCGAATGCTACGTCTAGTGCTCAGAGGCATTTTGTGTAAAGGCTTTTGATACACAGAAGAAAGGATTTCACTCATTCATTTATGTAATTCTACACATTTGGTAGCTTGCCAAACAATTATATTCTTCGTTAATTAATCATGCCAGACCATAATATGTTATCCACATCTATGAACAGGTGCATTCTTATTACAACTACAGTTGGGAATAAATCGTGTAGCTGGCCTGTGGCTTGTTTCAGATTCCCAGGAGCAGTATGTTTGTTGGAGATAGACTGAGTCTCATTGTAATTTTCTACAAACCGATACCTGGCTGAAGAGCCACAGGAAAACATATCTTTCCCAGTTTGAAGGAAATCTAACTGCTTTTCCACCATCAGGTGAAACCGAATTAGATCCTTTTTCATCCTTCAATCAATAAGCATGTAAGTAACTCATAATAAATAGGAACATTCATGTGAGTAAAGGCATCCATAGGACTACGTGACTGTAGCATCAGACCATATGTAAAAAACAATGGCTTTGTTAGCATGTTAATATACTTACTAGTACATATTTCACATAGCAAATTCAATTTAGATTATCATATACGAGCTATAAATTCTGTTTATAAAAGCAACATGATATGGGCACATTTGAAGTGTGTGAAAAGTACTTTGAAATAGACTTGAAGATTGAAGAGAAAACATAACAAATACATTTGCTTTTTTCTTAGATAAAACATGCAAAATAAAAATCTACCTTTAAATTTCAGTATTACTCGAAATTAAGATAAAAGGCAGAACAGACTTCCTACTGAATGTCAATGTAAAGGCACGGACAATGGAAAACAAATGCATAACAGGACATTATAAAAGCAAAGCAGAAGTAATCACTAGCTAATATTATTTAATATTACAATGACAGAGAAAGGAGTAGGTTTACCAACTTACCCTCATCTTTGCACATGCATCTTGTGTTGACTCTGTACCTCTTAACTCTTTTACCAGCATAGAACCTAAATACTAAAATAAAAATCCATTAAACTTAATTTAACTAAAATTCCAGAACAAACATCTGCAGAAATGCATTAAAAATGCCTAAAAAATCACAGTGGTAGCAGTCAACTTAATATATGGCTTTAGAGATTTATTTTCATTCTGCAGTTCTCTGATCAATCGTTTAAAACAGTGTGTTAATCAACCTACGAAACAGGAATGCACAGTGTATTGAATCAGATGGAGCCCTTTGAAACAGTATCTGAGAGTCTGCTAGCTTGTCACCTTAGTCACTCAAACAACAAGCAAATACTCCAGATTCCATCTGAAAAATGCCATTTGATTAAAAACTGGAAAATCTGCTTTTTTTAGCTGCCATCTGCCAAACCCATATTGTTATGTGTGCAATCACGTGGACGTGAAGGGCAGCAGCGATGTTAACCTCTGTGTACTCAATCTGTAACTAATTTATGTGCAAATAGCAGAGCCCAATGTCAGCAGAGAAAATAAATCTGAACCAAAAACTAGTTTAAACCGTTATTTCTTCCTAAGAAAAGGCTGACCTTGAACTACTATTTTGAAGCCTTTACTGAATCTGAAGGAGGGCCAGGTGATTGGAAGCAGTGGGGTGCCAGTGCTGGGTCCTGGCTCAGCTCGCTGAAAGCCACCGCGCTCTCAGAGGAGCCTGCCCATCTCCAAGCGTTCACGAGGCAGCGAGTGCCTCACAGACACCTCCCCTTTCCTACCTGCCTCTTCCTCACTGTGTCAGCCCTCCTGCAGCCTGACAGCAGGCTCTGCTCCTCTGGGCACTCAGTACCTCTCCATGCTGCGAGTGAGCAGTGCTGCTCCTCCAGGGATGGAGCTGGCTATGGCATCCCTTGCCCTTCTCACCTAGCAGAGAGCGTTCCTCTTACTGTGAACAGGGCTGTGCAAGAGCCACGCTCTGCATTTCTCCTATAGATGCGACAGGCATGTGTATTTGTGGATGTGCTCATGTTCATATAGCTCAGTGAGCACAGGATGTTCCCGTATTTCTATATGGTGTCACATGCAAGCCTGGCTTAACTGGGGAAAGAGGACAGCAAGCTGTGCCTTGTCTTCCCCTCTCAGGCACAGAGATGTCTCTCTTGGCATTCTCACTGCAGTGCAATGCCACGGTTTCTCTTAAGTCTTCAGTCCTACGTGAGCAACGCAGGAGCTGAAGAGAAGTCATGCCACGGGTGAGAACGGGGTGGGTGAGCTGCAGGAGGCGAGAAAGTGCCGTGGGCAGGAGCCTCTTCCCACCAGATGCTGCAGCCCACCACAGCTGCCTGACCTCTTTCATTCTACTGCACTGACTCCCCTTGGAAACAGCCTAAGCTGACCCAACCAGAGAGTGAACCAGCTTCATCTTAAACAAGAACCTATTCAAAATAACTTCAGTTGCAGCTGAATGCAAGCTGGAACTGAACAGAAAGTGTACTGGTTCAACTCTCCAGTCTCTCAACCTAAACTGGGATATTTTCTTTAAAGCCTTCACTTCACACTGTGTACCACAGGAGTCTCTGACCTGCAAGAAAATGCATAAATATTTCAATGTAGACAGTAGCCAACATGATAATTAATGAGAAAGAAACACTTTACAGGGCATTATAAATGGAAGGGTGAGCAACACCAACACTACCAGAAAAGCACAAGAAGAAAGGAACGAATGAAGGGCATTCCAAAACCGCAGATGTGAAAGATTCATAAACCAAGCAGCTGTGAGTCCAGCTGGGGGCTCGATGGTGACAGGAATAGGGCTTTGGGCATTAATTTGATGGGATGGCTTTACATCACCCTTGCAGAAGAATTTAGAGCAAGCTCTGAAATTAGAAAATTAAACAAAAGCGTATTGAGTTGAACTGTATCTTTCTCTGGATCCTGCTGTCTGACACCTTTAGCATCCTTAGCCTTTTCTGGGAAGGATGCAGGCAATTTCTTCAATTTTTTTATTTTATTGTTTTTTTATAGAATTGTGGTGGTTTTAGGCTGATCCAGCAACTAAAACTCACACAGTCTCTCCTTCTCCAGTAGAGAGGAGAGAAAAAAAAAAACAAACAAAGGGACTGAG